ACTGGTCTGACTGGCCTCCGCCGAGCTATTCCTTACAGTTTTTCATGCAACCGAGATGAAGCCTATCGATTTGTTCGCATTGCTCGGGAGATGTCCGTGTGCCGTTGTTATTCTTTACCATGGAAAGCTGACCATGAAAGGCCTACCACAACAATATTCATGACAGGAGCCCACCCACCTTAGTCGTGAAAAAATAAGCTACCAGCCATTCCGGTGAATTCCACACGATAGACTGGGGAATTTGATATCACCACCAGGTAGTGAAGGACCATGTCCTAGAGGAAATGGTGAAAGATTTCCTCTGGGCGGTCTTCATGGTGTATTCCTTCGAGACAGCTTAGAGTAATGTTACCCGCCCTTGGATCTCTTTGAAGAGAACTAGGCAAAAACCCCGTGAACAATGAACTCGTGCGCAGTAACTCACAACCACAAAGGCTTGCCCACCGAGTGTTTGGAGGAATCGTTCATCAGTTTTTGATACTGCTACGCAGTATTGCCAGCTAGTCTTACTAGCCACAGATAGTCCAACCAAAGGGGGGGGGGGGGGGGAGTAAAACCCGTAATATTACGCCAGCTTACCAACTAAAGAAAAAGAGGAACTTTCCCTCAACCTGGTGTCAGAGTCCGCGATCCATCGCAGGTTTCGCGCGATTCGCGCGATTCAAGCGATTTACGCGATTCACGCGATTCGCGCGGATCGCAAAAATTGCAAGTGCCCCATTTGAACATTTGAAACACTGAATATGAAACAAGTGGAATCATGAGCATCACCATCAAGCAGAAGTGGCGGCAGGATTGGAGAACACCTTGCAGTATTGATCGGGCACTTGTGATTTCCGTGACCCGTCGCGTGAATCGCGCAAATCGCGCGAAATCAGCGAAACCTGCGACGTCGCGGACTCTGACACCAGCCTTATTAAAATGTCGTGGACGAAGTTGGTGTGGAGCAAGTAACGGCGCTTACCACGCGTTGAGTCCGGGTCAGATACCAGGCGGAATCCCGCTCAAACCAACCAAGCCCTCTATCGTCTACAGACGCTCAAATGTTATCGTACACATCTAGGAATACAAAAATATTCTCATTAACATCAACCGACAACACATATTAATGCATACGCAAGATCGCATCCAAGCGCCGCTGCGATTCTGACGGAAGTAGAATGCGTGGCGTATCTTAAGAAGGGGAAAACACCCGAGGAAAGTGCAGAAAATTGGATTGCATTTTGCAATTGCACGAACCGTCGGGTCGGATCCTAAGGCTGACCAAACACTGCATAAGGACATATTATCTCGGACCAGCCTCTAACGTTGGAATAAAAATATTGACTTAAACGTCAGCTATTTCAGCAGTTCAGTGTATATATGAGCTGAACAAACGCTTAAGCACCTCTATGATTCTGAATGAATGCTCTATGTGCCCCTCCCTACTACAAAAACTGAATAATAGGATTATTAACAAGGAACTGCCGCCGCCTGGTGAATCGCTGAACCAGCTGACGGTAACCGACAGGAATTGGGTAGATTGGGCACGTCAGGTATGGCTCATAAATCCCCTGATGGCCCAAAAACTGATCAATCGATATATGTGACAAGGGAAAAGCCTAAGGTCAGAAAAAGCACGGTTATCGATTTTCACGCCTGCAACAAGTCCCGCAAGTGCAGTGCAAACGCCAAGAAAAAAGCTCACGAAAGGTAACCAGCACAGAATAAATACACCCATGACCAAGAATACCCGTGACTCTAAATCAATAACAATCGATGAAAACCTGACCAATCAAAAAATGCCTGCAAAGTCAACGGGCCAAGGCCCAACTCGTAGAAATGATCGTGATCTGCAGCTTATACGAAGTTATTACGGTCATTCTCACGTCTGTCAAGTGAACCGCAGGACTTTCGAAAACCTCACGTGATCGAGATAAAATCAATTTAGAAAGTGTCCTACCGCAGTAAAACTGGCATAGGCAACCACAAAGTACTTTTAGGTAAATCGATGGAATTGGTGCAATGCAAAACACGGTGTTATCACGTGAACCTTGGCTACTGTACCTGGAAGTGAGTTGTTGAAAACAGATCAATACTCACTGGATAGATGGATTTTCAGAAAACAGCCGTAGGCTTATGACAGCTCATGGATGTGAGAAAAAGAGCAGCTGTAAACCATCAACAGGTCATGGATTCCCAAAAAACAGCAATAAACCTACAACAGTTTCTGCACTTCAAATATTTTCAAAGCAAATTCAGATCATCGCTTGAAATTTCCCAAGAATACAAAGGAAATACTGCACATTTCTCATCACCTGAACGTGGAGCGGAAACACAAATTTCGTTAGAAACAGGCATTCCTGGTCACCGAAATGTTACGTTCACGGATAAGGCCAGCTGACCATGTCGCTTAGCAACATTTTTCGCAAGCTTCATACCAACTATAAAACCAATTGAAAATAAACGGAAAATAGCAAATAATATATGAATAGAATATAAATGTGAGCGAGGAGGAAAGGACTAGTCGATAAGAGTGGGTGAAACAGCAGAAAAAACGACTGAACTCGGTCTTCCGCAAAGCCTTTAACAAACATCAGTGCCAAAAAATAACAATTAACAAAAAAAAAACCAAATATTGTAAGAGTGCTACAAAAACGTGGACAAATGCGCTGGCGTATTCGCGCATGGGCGGCAGCGCAGCGTTCCACACAAGACCCACGTACCGTAAGATTTTCTACAGGGTCAATCGCGCTCATCACTGGACCTCTAGCCATCAGAAGCTTGACTAACAAAACCAAAATGCAAAAAAATAGATGGAAAATCGGCTTTCATGTCCTAAGGAAGGACATTCAAAACAGGCATTCAAAACCGCTGGTAGGTGAAACTAGGACTAAGCCCAGGATTGGGAATAAACACCAGGTAGAACAATGGTTGCTCACATCCTCTCCCAGGATCTTTCCCCTCCTAAAGCTTAGTCCAGGGTGTATTAGTGTCCCACTCACTACGATGTCCCCCCCCCCCTAATGACCATGAGAGCCGGAAAATCAATGAAAAGGAGAATAGGGAGAAAAATATTTCGCAGGAAAATAAAATAAAATGAGAACCAATCGATCGATAATGTGGCTCGATTCAGGCTAATCGGGTTCTGAGCCCCTGGTTAGCCGAGCATGATTACTAGTGCCAAATCAGCTTTACAATACGAAAACTTAGACACACATGTAACTGTCCACTCGCATGGAATTCCACGTAGGACCCACAAAACAGTAGATCGAACTCACCACACGATTTCTTTCGATCGCGAAACACAGAACCGCAGTCGATCATGACGTCTGGTCAGTAGCAGTACATCGATGATGACGACGACAACAGCAGAAGCAGTAGCCGACGACAGCAGCACTGTGATTAGGAAAATCGGAACGCCGTGAGCGCACGACAACAACCGTCGGCGGTGTGGGCGGGGCGAGCCGCCTCCCGGGGGCGTGGCCAAAGAGTACATCGTGGACTCGCCGGCGGCCGTCGGCGGCCGCGACGACGTGCAAGCGCACAACAACAACAACCAGCCGACGTCGCCAACACGGAACAAACCGAACGACGACAATCAGCCACAGTAATTGACACTTGGTTGGTCCTGTAACGCATCACTGCACCTTTAAATTAATCGCCACTACGGTAGTCAGTGTGAAAGTATCCGATCGACACTGCAAAGTGCATTTCCTTGTTGCGCTCTAAAAACGATCAATTAGTGATGATTCGACAAGGTTTAGCGCAACGCGCTTTTTCTGTTGTCGAATATGGATCGTGTTGAGTGGTGTGATTACGGTCAACGATTTTTACCGTGGCCTCCCATAGAACATTTTTATTTATCGACTTGTTGACGCACAGCACAGCCATGCACGATGACGGCCAGTTATCAGCCAGAAAACCATCACAACACTTCTGCAGAACGCTACAAATGGGGTGTTACGGTACCGCAAAAAGGTTGATAATCGATAGAGAAATCAATGGTTGTAGCTCTACGGCCTAGGGAGCGCTATTCTGGTAGGTTCTTCAGTGAAGAACCAAAGCGAGCACCCCAATAATCCGGCCAAAAGGCAACGTTCTGGTGGTCTCATTAACCTGGAATGCGCCATGCACTCGAGTTCATCACACAAAAACCGATGTTTGGATGGCTAGTTCACCTATACAATGAAATTTGAGGCCAACCTACAAGCCCGGAAGTTGC